TCTAAGCTGGATCAATGTTTGGAGAGGAAAAGTATAGAGGAGGCCTTCCATCAATAGTACCGTTAGCAGTAAAACCTGGTGGAGGTAGATCATGTCTCTTTTGCATTTCCACTCTCATCTCAACAATCTGCTGCATTAAATGCATAATCAATTTGTACTTATTTGCTATGGTGGGTTAAGCCACCACAACATCAGTAAGACTAATTTCTTCGTTATTGTCCCCCATTACTGTTTTTCCCTTGTCTGGCCTTTGGCCGAGAAACGAATTTGCAGGTCCTTTAGATCTAGTGTAGTATGGATGATCAAACAGTTTAATCGACACAGACCAGTTTATAAGTACCTGTGGAGGAAAACAACTCAAAGGTAAATTTGTTAGTTTGAGTTCGGAATACGCAATGCAGGATATAACATAGAGAACAGATAAACACACAAAGTTGTTTTGTTTGAGGACATTTTGAACGACGAGTAAACGGAAACTAATGTTTGAACAAGCAAGAGTTTGCTTGTTTTAGTTCGACATTGTCTCAGAAAGGTTAAATCACATTGAGCTAAGGTCTTCTTGCTGTATATCTTTGACGTCCGTTGATCTGAGCTTCACATTTTCTTGTAGGATGAAAGAGAGGGAATAAAATTTTTAAAAGATAGGGGTCGGGCCTTGTAAGGCTGCCTACGTATCTCAGAAGGAGTATTCAAGCCCTACGTAGTTCGAGTACAAAAGAAAATACTTGTTTTCATTCATTCATTCATTACGATTACAAGGAAATTGAAGAATAACAACAAATCTTTTAAAGATAAACAGTGGTTCCATCCCAGTCGTTCCTCTTCTCATTACTGCTTCAGTCACGGGGAACAGACTCGAATCGGATCTTTCTCAGGTTGATAAGGGTTTCTATGTCATAGTAAAAACTGAGGCACCTTGAGAGACTATGATCTGTAGTATTATGATAAGCACAAGGTTTCCAGATTTCTACCCCGAGTCGTCAAGTGCTTTGTCATTCTCTTGGGCAGAGGCTAGGACTCCACTTTGAACCAAATCGCTGTAGATTTCCTGTAACATCTTCTTAAATGGCGTGAAACAATGACAAATAAGTTGGGTGTGATCACTGGGCTTTGACTGATCGTAGGTGAGGACAGTGTTCCATCCCAACAAGTGCGTGATGTTTCCAGTGTCGATCGGATGACAGATTCTTGCTTTAAGCTATATACATTCCTCTATAGTATGTCCTCGCTGGTTCGGATGGAAGGAACACACCTCTCAATAATTCTCATGTTCCAAGCTGAAGTTATTCCCTCGCGAGATTTCCATTTAAGATGCTCGCACAGAAGGGCGCACGACACAACCTTTACCCTTACTCTATGTGTTGGCTCGTAAGTTGGGAGTGTGATCCACTTGTCTCCTCCTCTTAGATGGCCCAGGAATGGAGGCATATAGCCGATTTCTTCGTCGCTGTCTTCCCCAGTTGCTCCAGGGTGAGTGTCCTCTGGACCATCATTAGCTTCTTGTTCACAGACAAAGTATTTACCACGCACTTTCTAAAGTTTGACGATCATGTCCTTGTGGAAAGCCTCATTCTTCTTCCTCACTTCGACCATTCTTTTCCTCATGGTAGTGAATTCCTCCATCTCCACTGTCGATTCCTCATTAAGTGCTGCATTTCTTGCTAGCACATTTGTGGTTTCTAAATCTATCTCTGCTTCTCTTGCCTCCCTTTCCTAAATCATCAGTCGAAGCATATCCAACTTCATCCTTAAGTCCTCTCTCTCTCTCTCTCTCTCTCTATCTCTATGTCTCTCTTTTTATTCATATTAGACGCCAAATCCTCATCCAACGTCGTAGTTGCGGATTTGTAAACCGCTGTGGCAATTGCGACTCTGAGTCCTTTATCTCTAACTTCATGAATTTCTTGCGCGATTTGTTCTATTTTTTGCAACTCCTCTCTAGTAAGTTCCATCTTGACACTCTTACCCTTTCCCATAGCAATGATCTTGTTTTTTCAGAGACGATAGAGTATCATTTTAGGATTTTGAGATAGAATATTTTTTGCTTTTGATTGAGAATCTTAAGACTCGGAAAATTTGGTCAAACATATTATAGTAGTGATTTGTATATATCTTTTGGAAATTTTTGGGAAGGAGTGGATTAGCAACATCCTCATTCAAAACAACACATCACATAAACAGTTAAGCACACAATAATATAGATAAATATCGCATCCTAAACATGTTTGTGACCTTTTTATGTTAAGGGTAGGCCTAACGAATTAAAGGATGTATATGCCTTTTTAAACAAATTCATTATCCCCAAAATAATTCATTATAACATTCAAAATGTTTGATAATCATAAAACAAGGAAATAGTTATTCTGAAATTAAATTAAAAAACAAAGTACAAATAAAGTAGTCCCATGCAAGGGATGATAATAAAATTCAAGCCTGCTCTGATCCTTCGCCAAGTGTAGTCCTTTTGGCGATGCTAACCTCTTGCCACATAACATATGTGTTTGTCCATAGATGATCTGTCGCTAATCGAGCTCCCTCCTTATTTCTAAACCCATCCAACAACTAAATCTATTGTTCCATGCTATTGTCTAACTCTGTCATGCATTGTCTGGCTCTTCTTAGCTCTTGTTCCAATTGAGTTATGACTTTGGCGTCTTCTGAATGGTGGCATATATGCTCTAATTCATTCTTATCAAACTTCTCTTGAAGTCGATGGAGTCGGACTTGATGTTTGGCTCCAACATCTACGATAATGCGAGGAACGTTTGGACCAGGCTCAATAGTTCCAGCGAGACTCTTTTTTTCAACGATTCCTTGTGCTCCCTTCAGGACGAAACCTATTAAGTACGGGTTCACCCAATACTCTTTGAGACCTCCACATCCTACGTATGTCTTCAGCAAATGCGACTCGTTCGTTCTCGTGGTCAGTTGCAAATTTCCTTATATCTGCAATCTGGGGAACTCTTTTTTCCCTCCTAGTTTCCTTAGGACTCGACTGGGAGGATATGATCTAGTGCCTCTTAACCCAACAAACACCAAGTAAGGAACTTTTTCAATTCAAATTACCATATTTTTAGTTACCACCAGACTGTCTATTGACCATTGTACCTCTTATTCTCTCAGCTCTCGATGTCTTGGATACCAAAAATATTTTTCTCCAGTTTTGTTGCAACGATTCTAGTATAACCACCAATCATGACCATGTAACTCGTCTGACAGCCTTAGGGGGTCTAGTTCTTTCGGATTATGAGTCTTGAGTAGATGTCGCATCATCCACCATTGAAGTATCAGATTGCACCCCTGAAAGAAACGCTCTCCACTTTTACATTTATCTAAAGTTCTATAAATGTCGGCCAAGATCATAGACGCTAAGGTGTAGTACTTGGTTGATGATTTATAGTCCACTCTGTAGAAGATGGCATGAGTGACCATAAACACACTAGGATGAATGTGTATTTTAGCCCTTGAGGAAAAACCATCATTCCAAGTAAGCATATTGCAAAGGCAAAGGGACGTGGCTCATTCTATTTTTCTTTTGATACGAACTCTTCTTTGAATTTCTCGTAATCCCTCGCACGTCCAAATGAATAATACAACTTTTTGAAAGGAATGTTCGGACAGGGAAGCTTATCCATCCACTCAGCTTTGACTAGTGACAATTTTTCTTTGATTTTAGTGAATCCCATATTTTGAGATTTTGAAGATCTGTATCTGGATAGCGTTTCTCTTGTTGCACATGACGACACTTTCATAGCTTGTGAGGACCTCTTCAATGGTTGGTGTCATTTCCACTCCCTCGAACAGAAAGATCATATTTTCACTATCTCAGAATTTCACCATCGTCCTGATTAGACCGGACCAGCCATTCATTTCTAACAGTGACGGAACCTGTGTTTCTTAACTATAATCTTGTCATCATTATTCATGAATCTCCGCCACACTTTGAGGAAGGAATCGGGGATAGTAACCATTCTTGTTTTTAGAGGCTCGTGTTCGGATCCATCCTACAAGAATAGTGACAAAGATTAGTTAACCCCCACCCCATAGACAATAAATCGTTTAAAAAACACATATACATCCTTCAATTAACACGTAAGCATGGTTGTCTATTTGTTGACAAATGGAGCCAAGTAGACACAAGGTGGGCTTCTAATAGGACCAACACGCCTTGGGTGATGGGTCATCTTAGTTCAAATGCTCCTAAATTTGGGTTTTTGGCTCGGCTCTACGCTAGTTAACTAGGAGTGACTTTTGAAAAGACCGGGGACCCAAACGGAAAATTTGTGCTGGAACTCGCGATAACCATTTGACGCATGACGAACCAATAAATTACTGCTAATTCCAGAAAAGGATGAATATAAAAAAATCAGGCTAAGGTTCCGCAAACCGTCATTTAATATACTATATAAACAGAATATGCCATGAAATGCAATGCCATTTATATAATTTAAACAAATTAACCACATATAAGAAATTTAATAATAGTAATTAGTAAAAATAGTCAAATATTTTTTGTTAGAACTTAATTAATCCCCAACAGAGTTGTCTTTTTTGTTTTACGAAAATAATTAATAAAAAAAGTGACTAAGTTTCTAAAAATTAATTAATCTTACGATATAAGAAAAATCAATTTTCCGAATAACAGAATCGCCACTTGATTTTTTTAGTAAAAATCAAGAAAACTTAAAATCATTTTTTCAAAAAATTTGAAACAGATAAAAATCGATTGAAAGAAGGTTCAAACTTCTAATGTCTTGGGTGTTAGACCCTCAAAATGCCCACTAACTTGCGGTTGACCGGTGATTTGACTAAAATGACTTTTTATTTTTAATTTTTAAATTTTAAAGTTACAGTGAAGGATATTTATTTATTACTATTATTTTCTAATTAATCACTTAAGGGAAAAGAGGGAAATCAATCTCAAGAGGGTGACTTGAATTTTGCCAAGATCAAAATTAAAATAAAAAGCTAGATGATGAAATAAATAAATAAGTAAATACTTCAAATTAAAATATAAAATTAAATGAAATGGCAAATCTTTGGAGAGTTAATTAAATTAAAACCACAAAGTAAAGAAAGTTAGTCAAAATACAATAAAAGGGAGTAGAATTAGAAAATAGAGATATTGAACTTGTGCTTTTAGCCCAAATTCCAAATTCAATGACCTGTCCTACCCTAAAAGTGACCCAAAATTGTTTGGGCCTGTTCAAATGTTATTGGAATTTCTTCTTGGGCTCTCAGTCCCCTTTCATTCTCATTTACCATGGTATACAAAAAGTGTATATTTGGCGTATACACCATGTATATCATTGATTCTCGGACTCCAAAACCTGTAGTTTATAAGGATTTTCGTATTTTTTGCTTTTTTATCCTGTAGTAGAACGTTTTGACCTGTATATCATTTTTTTTGATTGTATATTATTGTATAAATCAGATATATCAGCCTGTTCTTTGACCTTCCGGGGCTGGAAAACTAATTTCCAGCAGTGTAATGCTGCTCTTAACCTGTCCAGCAGTTTCGAGAGGGGTATGACCGACTTGGGGTAAAGGTTTGAGCCTATGTGTCTCAAACAAGGTATGCGAGGAGGGAAATGGAGTCCAAATGGACTGGAGAGGAGTTCACACAAGAGAAATAAATGATTAGAATAACTAGATAATAAACTTGATAAAATAACCAATTAAAGCCATTGGAATACGATAGGTGATAATAAATTCACAGCAAGTTGGGATGACAATATTGCAGATACTACATGTTGGCAATGTATAAATGAAAAGATAAATACACAGCCATTCACATTTGAAAAAAAGACTACCAGAAGGCAAACTTAGCATAGTAACTTTTCATTCCTAGATTGACTAGACATCTCTAACTAGATATTATAATTCCAAATAGGAAAGATGGGCTAGTGATGAGGCAACTGGAAACAATTGAAAGGAAGAAGAAATCGCGATAAAAATAAAGACTGAACTGTCGAATCGAGGTTTAGTTGCCTATTGACCAACAAACACAAATAACACAACATTAACACTAGTAATATGAGAGATCTTTTAGAGCTTAAAGCCAACAAAATAACAGGAAAAAGATTCAACATCCAGGCAAACAAATGAGAACAAAAATGACCAAAGAAAATTAGACAAGAAGTAGAAAGATCACAACAATGACGACAACTTGAATCATCCCATACAATGATTCCCCTTTGTTATAAAGAGAACTTGAAATGGACCAAGACAAGTGGAACATACAGTCTCGAAGCATAAATCTAACTCAAAACATGAACTCAGAATATTGACATCCTAATTCATTCTTCAATGAGGTGAAAGAACAAAAATAAGGAATCAAATACCAAACAGTAAAACGAGTTGTTGACATTAGAGAAAAACAAACTCCAAAAAGAGAGGATAATCTAACAAAAGGCTTCAAACGAAGTAACAAAGAGATAATACGAATCTAAAATTTTGACTTAGCGCTATGCAGGCTCGATTAACCATTAAGAATTATACTTCACTACGAGACAGCGTTAACTTAATAACAACAGACAAGCAACAAACATAGAAATTAAAATTTTAGACATCAAGCTATCATTTCAAAAATGGAGAAGTGGGAAAAATATACTATGTAGAGAGAGAAGTATCACCTTTCTCCCCAGCGACTGGGAGACGAACGATCTTGAAAGGGCGGAAACTTCCACACCAACACAAACCCGAACAAAGAACAAAAACTCGTACAAAATGAAGAGCTTTGGCAGCAAAATGAAAAAGAGAAAACAGGACCAGAATTGACTATTCTCTCGATCTTTTTCAAGTACTCAACAGGTTCTCTTCACCAAAGACCAAACTAAATCTCTTTAATTTTTTTTATATCCAAGAATTCTCTAGACTAAAATCTCCCCCCAAAAAATTATCCCCCCCATTGAACGTTAAAGAGAATATATATATATAGAGGGTGGATTTAGAGTTCCAAACTTGGTGGAAGATGGATAAAATTCAGATCCGCCCTAGGCCCATTTCAAATTCAAAATCCAAAAATCTAATCCGAAAATCATATATTCTTTCGATTCCAAGTGATTTTGGACAAACTTGAAGTGAGGTGGAGGGATGAGATCGACTGTTCGCCCTGGATGAGCTACGTGGAATGATCTCGCATTGCCAAGGACGAAAACGCGTCCTTGGAGCTCTTCCAAAGCTTGACAATGAAAGGGACGCGGGGTAAGAAGACAACATTGCAGCGTACTATCCCTGTTCTTGCTGCTTTTACGTCTAGTGGTTGTTCACACCGTGTCCTTTGTGAATGTTTGATGCAAGCTTTCGTTAACTCGCCATCACGTGAGGCGCATCCGGGCGAATGCTAAAGGTAAATGTTGCAGAGTCCAACTTTCTCTTGATGGGGAAAAAGGATATGGGTGGGTCGGGTTCATGGAGAAAGAAAAACAATTTTCACATATAGCAAACAAAAAATTCATATTTATATGCTATAGCAAATTTTGCATAATTACGCTACATAGCAAATATAAAACTGTATAATTTGCTATACATATACAATTGTATAATTCGCTGGCCTAAATTGTATAATTCGCTGGCCTATTTCGCTGCAATTGTATAATTTATTTTGCATACAGTTGAATCGAATTAAAATGTATGTATATTGCATAATTATAAGTGTATAGCAAGAAGATATATATTTTTCTCGCTTTATACAACAACAGAAACACAATATATATACTTCTGTTGTATAAAACTAGAGAAAATTGTATTTCACTACAATTGTATAATTTGCAATTGCACAATTCGTTGACCTTTTTTTCTGCAATATCTGAAGTAAAACGTTTGTAAATTGTATAATTAAATGTATAACACGAAGATATACATTTTTGCATGTGTATATACAATTTTCTCTCGCTTTATACAAAACAGAAACAGAATTATACACTTCTGTGTATAAAGCGAGAGAGGCGAGCGAGATTTTTGGGAGAGAGACGCTGGCAAATTTTAGCTAATGTTTGCTATGGAGCACAATTAAATCAAACTCTAGCTATTTCATTTAATTTAGGTTATTAGTTTGCTATTATATACAATTTTCCCGAGAAAAAATGGGTTGTGAAAATTTGAAAACAACAAAGGAAAATTGGTTAAGTGTTTGGAGGTGGACTTAAATTAAATAAGATGAATTAATATCAACTAATTAACGAGCTTCTTAAATTTTAACAAGACAAAATAATTGTTTCATAAGATACTAATTTAGACAAAATTAATTTAACAAATTGTTCAGTAAGCTAAAAAAAATTTAGACTATTTTTGAATATTTTATAAAATAAATTGATTATATAAAACATATGAAATATATATCATTTAAAAATTATTTAAATCAAACTAAAGCTACATTAAGATTACTTGAAAATATCTAAATCTTATAAAGTCAACTATTTCAACCCCTGTAGAATTTAAGAAACTCATCATTAATTAACATCGAGGAAGGTAAAAAATGGGTTTCAACAATGCCCAACTTGGATGTGGTGCATCCTCATCCCTACCATCCTTTCATTGATCGAATCATGTTCTGGCCACACCTTTCTGTTGGTATGCAGTCAATTCAACCCTCTCAGCATCGACCATATGCATTACCTTGTACACCTTCTTTAACTCCTCTATGATGTTCTCCGGATCTTCAGTAGTGTTTGATCCGGTGAAACTAGGGGGATTCATCCTAAGGAACTCACAAATTCTCGAAGTATCAACCCCTTCATGTCAAGCTCCTTTCTACTTCACGACTTGGTTAATCACAACCTGACTTAGCATCCAGACAGCTTCCCGAAATTCGACATTGGTAACCTTTCCTTGGGGTTGCACCACTGGTACATTTGGAACCTCTTATTCCTCAACATTCCTTCGTGGTCGACCTCTGAATGCTCTTCTTAGAGGCATGATGATCTGAAAAGTACATGGAAGCACGAATTAGAGAGAGACTTTAGAGATAAACTTTTCGCATGAAAAGAATATTAAAGAAGGGAAACATTCCTAAATGTCGTAGCCTTCTAATCATAGATGTGGTCCTTCACACCAATAACTAAGACTCTAGAGACACGACTTCATTGACTCCTTAGGACTCTCAAACTCTATGCTCTGATACCAAGTTTGTCATGCCCCAAGACTACACCCTGAGTAGGTTTAACACTCAAAGACCATTGATGGACCTCAAGCGAACCCTTGGTCTGGCTACTTAAATTAGTAGAAGACAAAACTTAACTAAAATCCCAATAAAACATATATAAAGGGAAGTACTTCATATTATAACCTTGGCCAAAATGACACTTGAGTCTTAATAACTAAAAACAACTCCAAACTAAAATACTGTAGTCTACAAAACCTCTAAACTGTCTATAGAGGGATGTTGTGATAGACCCCACAACATCCGAAAAGCTAAGTTAATATAGAAATGAAAAGGATGTCCTCCAAAATGCAATGAGGCTCACCACAAACTCTGAAGCTCAATCTGGATCAATGAAGCGCTGCGTGCTGATCCTGGGTACCTGGGTCTGCACCATGAAACTATGTAGGCTAACTAGCACCAATACATTGAATGTACGATTAGCGAGTTGGAGAGCAAAACAACGACTTAAGCTTGAGGGAATTAGATGAACTTACCTTAGCATTGCTCAACTCAAGGTATACTTAACTCAAATGATATACATATAAAGCAGTTCAAACCACATGCAAGATATATGTATATAAAGCTCATAAAACATAGAAAACAATTTAGTTCGGGAAAGGAAATGCAATAACAAACTCAACTTTACTTATATAAGAAATTTATATCGCCTTTGTGGGAGTTTCTCTAATTGACAACCATCACTATGAGCCTAAGTGATGATACAACATCTTATCTCACGTTGCAAGAGGACCATATTACACCTTGACATCGGCATAGGACTTTATTCAACTTAGTGGATCCACTAGCTCTCCTTACGTGATCATCTAAAAAGTATGACACGTCAATTCCCATGTTGGGACTACATGGTTTATATGGAGACTTGAGTTAATTTGAACTCTCATCTCCACATCGGTGCTGAATACTACTCCCAAAAATGTACTTTAGCTCATACTTTTAAATAAAACTTCTTTCCTTTAGATTGAGATAATTTACGAATCCCATTAGTTTTAAAAAATATCCTTTTGGAATCAATGTTCCCCTTTTAGTTCAAAACTCTTGTGGAACTTCTAGTTCCTCTTTTTACTCAAATGTGAAACAATTATAAACCTCTAGGGAATACTTAGTTACCTTATATCTTTTTGAGAATTGAACTCAAATCTTGCTCTTTACTTAAATTGAAACTTTGACTCTTAGGGAACACTTAACTCTCATAGTTTTTGAGAAATGAACTCAACTCTTTACTTGACTTGAACTTTAAGTCTTCAAAACAAAGTGAAAACATTTATGAAAGAATTTAGAAAAATTTACCTTGCCTTGCTTATTAACTTCTAGACTTGGTTCTTAACTTCTTTGACTTGACTCTTAACTTTACTTGAATTGAAGTATGGATTCAAGGTTCCAATTTTAATTCTTGGATGTTTTCTAGGTATTTACAAATCATTTGAAGTGATTGGAAATCATTAGAGAATGTTCATCTACCTTGGAAGGACTTAAAAAGGTTAAACTATGAAAACTGGATGAAAAACGCTGGGTCGAGCGCTCTGTTGGCGCGCCAAGCCAGCTCTCAGTTGATCACATATTGGAGGCTCTTGTGATCAGTGAATATATCCACATGAACACCATATAAATAGTGACGCCATATGTTACAAACACTACTACAACCAGTTCTATGTCATGAGTTGGATAATTCTTCTCATGAACTTTCAATTGCCTGGAAGCATAGGCTATAACCATGTCATTCTGCATTAATACACAGCCCAAGCCAACTCTTTATGCATCACAATACACCACAAAGCCTTGAGTACCCTCTAGTAAGGTCAAAATCAGAGCAATACTCGATCTCCTTTTTAACTCCTGAAAGCTCTTCGCACAAGCTTCAGACCATTGAAACTTGCTTGTCTTCTGGGTTAACTTTGTATAGATGAGAATCATTCAACAAATCTCCTATAATACCCATCCAAACACAAGAAACTCCTTATATCTGTTAGAGATGTGGGTCTAGGAGTACTTAGAACTGCTTCTATCTTCTGAGTGTCAACTTTAGTACTTTCACCAAAAATAATGTGGCCTAGGAATGCCAAAGACTTAAGCCAAAACTGGCAGTTGCAGAACTTGCATATAACTCATTATCTCTCAAAGTCTGAAGAACAACCCTTAGATGACTAGCATGATCTTCTTCATTCCTTGAATAAATTAGTATGTCATCAATGAAAACGATGACAAAAAGATTCAAATAAGGTTTGAAGACTCAATTTATAAGATCCATAAATGTTGCAGGTGCATTAGTTAAACCAAAGGACATAACCAGAAATTCATAATGCCCATACCTTGTTCTAAAATATGTCTTGGGAACATCACATTCCCTAACTCTCAACTGATGATAGCCTGATCTAAGCTCAATCTTAGAAAAGCAAGAAGCACCTTAAAGCTGATCGAAGAGTATCTATCCTTGGAAGAGGATATTTGGTCTTGATGGTCACCTTATTCAGTTGACGGTAATCTATACACATCCTATCCTTCTTCCTAACAAACAAGACCAGAGCGCCTCATGGTGAGACACTTGGTCGAATAAAGTCTTTATCTAACAGATCTTTCAGTTGTTCTTTCAAGTTCTTTTAATTCTGCTGGTGACATTCTTTATGGTAAAATAGAGATAGGATGATTGTCTGGGATGACATCTATGCCAAAGTCTCAGTAGGGAGGTAGATCATTAGGAAAGACTTATGGAAACTCACTGGCTATAGGAGCTGACTGAAGGGAAGGCACCTCAACACATGAGTCACTATCTCAGACTAAGTGATAGATACATCCCTTAGAAACTAATTTCCTTGCCTTAAGGTACGAAATGAAATGACCCTTAGGCACTGCTGAACTACTAGCCCACTCCATGACAGGCTCATTTGGAATCTTGAATTTGACAACTCGAGTTCTACAGAAGCACAACAGGCATGGAGACACTCCATACCTAGAATGACATCAAAATATACCATGTCTAACTCTATTTAATCAGCCACGGTACTTTTGTGATTGATGGAAATAGGAAAATCATGATAGACTCTTTCCGCTAGAATAGACTCCCCAATAGGTGTAGAAACACAGAAAGGTTCATAAAGCTTTTCAGGGAGAATTTCAAACTGATTAGCAACATAAGGAGTTATAAAGGATAAAATTGCTCCTGGGTCTAATAAAGCATAAACATC